CTAATTTACCAAGGATGGTATCCTTCTGCAGGGACTGGTCCCTTCTGCCCAAATGACCAAAGTAGGTGAGAGGAGGTCTGGCCAGTCTCACTTCGAAGGAGCATTCTGGCTGCACTTCCTCTAGGGTAGATTTGTCCATGGTAGAGGCAGTCCATGGTGTTTGCAGTATTCTTCTCTAACTCCACATTTCAAAGGTATCAACTTTTCTTAGTGTTCCTCTTTCATTCTCCAGGTTTCACATGCATATGGGTGACTGAAAATACCACTGCCTGGATTAGGCACAAGGAATTCTGGTGGCATTGTGGGTAAGGCATTTGGCTGGTAACAAGAAGGTCAACGTTTCAATTGCAACAGCTGCCTGGGAGGAAGATGAGGCAATAGACTTCCATAAAGAATTACTAAAGCCATGTGGATCTCTACAAGTCCGGATTGACCTGATGGCAGTGAGATTGGTTTTGGTTGCTTTAGGAAAACCTTATTCTTCAAACTGACATCTTTGCTCTTCAACACTTTAAGGAGGTCTGTTGCAGTACATTTGCCCAGAGCAATACAATATCTGATTTCTGGACTGCTGCTTACATGGGAGTTGTTTGTGGATCTGAGTAAACTGAAATCTTTGATCACTTCAACATTTTTTCCATGTATCATAATGTTGCTTATTGGTCCACTTGTGAGAATTTTTGTTTTCTTTATGTTGAAGTGTAATCCCTCCTTAAGACCCTATTCTTTGATCTTCATTAGTAAGTGTTTCAAGTCTTCACATTCTGCAAGCAAGGTTGTTTCATCTGCAAATCACAGCTTCTTAATAAGTCTTTCTCCAATCCTGATGCTATGTAAATATTCATGCAATCCAGTTTCTCATACTATTCGCTCATTGAATAATTGTGAAATTTTGAATAAATTTGCTGAAAGGATACAACCCCTCTTGATGGTACACACTCTTCTTGATTTTAAAACATGCAGTGTTTCCTTGTTCAGTTCCAAGGACAGCCTCCTTGTCTATGTATAGGATCCTCGTGAGCAAAATTAGGAGTTCTGGCATTCCAATTTTTCCCAATGTTGTCCGTAATTTATGATCAACATAGTGAAATATTTTCCAAAGTCAATAAACACAGGTAAATATCTTTCAGTTATTTTTGCTTTCAGCTAAATTCCATCTGACATAAGCAATGATATCCCTCATCCCACATCTCAAAATTCCCCCAGGGATTCTCTCTATTTTTGATTCTATGCCACCCACTTATATTTAGTAAATCAAAATGTTTATTGTTACAGCAGGAAGCATTTATATATATAGAGAAAAACAGTCAGTCCCATATGGAGGGAAAAGACTCAGTGAGCGTTCCCAGCATCAGGGTTCTGAGGAAGCTGAAGGAAACCAAGTGACCCTTTTCCTGTGACACTCAGGACAGAGAGAGTCCCCGGGTAGTGCTAACACTTAA